GCGTTTTAAACCTTTCCCACACTCTTGCAATATTCTAAACAATGTTTATAAACTCTAAACGCTCTAAAAGAGCACAGAATGAACTCAGCTCTTTGCCTCCGGCTGCTCTCTGCCAGCCCTCTCGGCCACGCCTACTTCTCCGCTGCAGAGCAGAGATCAGCTGATCAGCTGTAGGAGGAATCTTCTCCCACAGCTGTGGGCTGCACACAGTAGATGCTAAATCATTTAAAATTATTTATTTTAAATAAAAATTGCATGACGATTGTGCAGCTCATCCATCAATCTGCCAATTGTGCATCATGTCTAATCTTATTTTGAAAAATTGCGATAGAGCTAGCCCACGAAAAACGAACTGCGAAGTAGCAAGGGACTACTGTATTTATATACATAACAATCTAAGTAAAAATGTACAGTAAATCATTCACTTTACCCTCTAAAAAAGGTTGTTAAAGCTGTTGTTGAAAGACATTTGCTCTTAAATGGACCCATATTCTAAGTTTCAGCTAGCTTGGCTCATACAGGAGAATGTATCCCTGAATCTCTAAACACCCACATCTATTGCTGATGGGATAGGAGCTACTCAAAAGTACTGCATGCAACCTCATAAAAAACAAACAAACCCAGAACTGTCCATTTAAGAAGAAAATTGATTGTTTTAAATCAATTTATTTCCAATATAAATTATTTTTCAGTCAGTTTTAGCAAACAAGCTCACCTAGAAAAGGAAAAGAATGATTAGACTTGCACTGAGAAAGATGAGCGTAAGTGAGGAAGATCTGCTGGCATAAAGCTTGATGAGAAAAACGTGGGCAGGCACTAAGTGAAGAAAGCTGCGGCTGCAAGATGTGACAGAAAGGTGACCTTAACTATTCATCTGTGAAATAGTAAAAGTGAATGTGCCATTGTGGACTGTAATGAATATATATTCAACAGAATTCAGCACAAAGAACTAATGCACCTGCCAAATTACTTTAATCTAGTTAAGCTTGGATATAACCAGATTGGAAAGAGGCAGCTCTGTCTGCTGTGACTTATTATTGATGTTAACAGAAATTAGCTCGTCAGTGTAAATATACGTTCCAAACTTTATTCCATTTAGCATAAAATCTGCATTTGCTTTCAGTTTGCATCACCCACAACAGATATTATGAATCAAAGAGACAACCTGCTTTTAAACTGCCACGGCACAAAACAAAGGGTGGTGATGGAGTTAGCTTTGATTTAAAAAATGTGAAGATCCTGAAAAAGCAATGTCCTACCATGTTGGTAATTACATCTCCAGCTGAGTCCCTCGTTGTGCCTCATTTCCTTTTGATGCGATACACTGGATTGGATTCTGTGATTTTCTGTTTTCATCCCTGTCTCAGACTCCATCTCCTCCCTGCAGACCCTTGGTCTGTCTCTGTCCAGTCATAAGCTATGTCCTGAGGAAATACAAACGTCTCTGCTTGACCTTTTTGTGCTGCACTGAGCCCAAAATGGCCACAGCCTTATTAAAATCACAGTTTTCCACCATTCTCACACACTTTAGCTGTCCGTTCTTTTGATAAGTCTCATTCTTGTCGACATGGCTGGCAATTTCCATGAAGACTGAGCATGGGAACTCACCTTATCAGTGTGTGTTCATCTAGTGTTTAACCTACAGCGCAGAGGCTGACCTGCTGCGAGCTTCAAAATCTCATTTTAATGTCTGTCACATGCAGATTCTAATTCTCTCACTGGACAGTGCAACTGTTTTCTTATTTTTGATGTAATATATATTATTAATTTATTCATCTCCTTGTTGAATCTTTTCATCTTTAGACTATATATTCTACTTTTAGATTCCTGAATTGTTTTATATTTTCCTATAAAATGGCTCAAATTTTAAAAAATAACTAAACACATTCATTATTTCTGTCAGGAGTTTAGAGTGATATATTGAACTGAATCTATCGTGTGATTTTTATTTCATTTTTATCGTATTAGTTATCAGTTTTGACTGGCGGATGTACAAAAAGACAGAACATGGATACATTCAGCACCAGGCCATGAATGTTGTAGGGTTGTAGGTGGGTGCACATGGTTTGATATTTGGGTTACACACACATACACATATGATTTGTTGCATCAAAAATATTTTTGTGTAACTGAAAAAACTTGCGTGAAACTTGTCTTTAGGCCTCCAGCGTCGGCGTCTCATCCCTGCTCTGACCTTGGACTCCTCCTCCTCTTCGTCACCTTCTCAGCGCTCTTCTAAACAAGCCATCACGTCTTCTTCCTCGTCCTCCTCCAGTCCAGGTGCATGCTGGGTAGATGGTCCACTGGGGCCCCCTGTGTCCTCGAACCACCGCGGCGCAGCCACCGCAACAGAAACGTTTGAGATCAAGGTGTATGAGATAGACGATGTGGAACGACTACAGAAGAGGAGGGATAAAGGAGGAAGCAAGGTAAGAGGAAGAGGAGGGGTGTAAAATGGGCCATCTATGCAAGTGTAGAGCATTTAAAAGGGTTAGAGAAAAGATCAGTGCACTGCATGCCAATGAAAATGATCAGATAAATAATAGTTGATGGATGCAAGGGAAAAAAAATAGACGTTCTGCAAACAGAAAACCAGAGGAGGAAGCTGGAGAGAAGTGACATTGGAACACAAAGAATGCATGATAATGTCTTTGAGAACAGAAACTTGTACAAGAATGATTTTCACAGATGGAATACATATTAGCAACAGCTTCTGCAGGAATAATACACCCTCTTCATTCTTACTTTGTTATCTTTAATTTAAAGATCATTATGAACACTCACGGCTTTGTAATACAAAGTACATTCGTAAAATAATTTGCAAAGCAGTGCACATGGAGGTTTTTTTCTGCTTTCCATTGTTAAACGTCTGTGCATTTAAGGTAGAAAGCTCTGTGAGCATTGGAATGAAGGAAAGAGAACAAAGCAGGGAGTATAGATTTTTCCTGCAGTTGCTTCAAGAAAGCCACTTAACCTCCAGCTGCTCCAGTGAAGCAGCCCTGCGTCCTGAACAAAACCAGACTGTGGTCCCACTGTGAATCGATGAGGGGCGAATGCTGCTGAAAGAGAATCACATGCGCTTCACAACTTGTTCCTCTGGAAATATAAAGGTAAATAAAATCCTTTCTGCGTGTCCGCCTCTCTGTGTATCCATCAGGAGGTGGTGTACGTCAGTGCCAAGCTTCGTCTGCTGGAGCACCGCCAGCAGCGAATCAGCGAAGTCAGAGCCAAGTACCAGTGTCTGAAGACAGAACTGGAGCAAACTAAACAGCACTTGATGCTGGAGCCGCACAAATGGACCACTGAGTGTAAGCGAAGCACATCAGGGAATGTGTGCAAGTCTGAGCGAAGATTAAAAAAACAACTGCTTAGAGCAGTGGTTCCCAACCCTGAGGAACACCACCCTGCTTGTTTGCAGTGGTTTGTTTGCTCCAGCACACTTGATTCAAATGAAATTAACAGGCTTCTGCTGAAATTAAGGAAGTAATTAAACCACTGAATCAGGTGTGTTGGAGCAGAGAAACAACTGAAACATGCAGGATGGTGTTCCTCAAGGACCAGGGTTGGGAACCACTGGCCTACAGAACAAGTTTTAGGCAATCCTTTATTGAAAATAACATGTACTTTTGTGTAATTTTTAGAACTTTTATTCTGATTTTTCTTGATGCTGATATAAACTGCACGCAGCGATTTTTTAAAAATCAAACCCTGACAGTCTCTTCTTTGTCCATCTGCATCTAGTTGAGCTGCAGCAGCACTACGATGTGGACTCAGTGGAGTATTTGGAAGCTCTCGAGACAGTGACAGACAAACTGGAGACCAGAGTCAACTTCTGCAAAGCCCATCTTATGATGATTACCTGCTTTGATGTTTCCTCAAGACATCGGTAGACGGATTAAGTGATGGCGAGGTGGAAAAGGAAGGGATGGACACACAGCTGGAGATAATTAGATGCTAATATTTAGATCAATTGCAACAATTACCATAATCAAACATACTGAGAAAACATTTCTTTACAACAACTGCCCAGCATGCTGGGCGACTGGAAATTTGGAGGATAAAAGGGACCCATGGAGGAAGTAACCCCTCAATCACAATCCTACAGATGTGAAACAGAAGGACGGCTGCAGGTATATGGAAACAACATACAAGCACCACGACAGATAAACTTTTAGTTCATCCGGAGACCCAGTTTAAATGAAAATGGCTGCTCAAAAAGGCAGAAAGATGGTTGTACGTCAGGAATTGTGCAAAAGAAAAAAGTGATCAGTGAACAAAATTAAAAACAAATATGCCTCAAAGACTCTAAAGAATAAACAGATGAAAGAAGAGGAAGCCTGAAAAAAAAGAAGGTCTTTTTAAAACAATAGGGGAACAAAAACGAAAAACAAATTTAACTTTTTAAAAGCGCACTTTTCAGAGTTTTGACCATAAATGCAGCACGCTCGCCACAGAATGACGCAGAGTTATTGTACTAACTCACCGAGAGGAAAACAGGATATGATGTAGATAAGTGCCTTGTGAACATTTATAACAAAACCAAGACCGATCCTCTTTCTCTCTGTTTTTATGTACAGACGATATGTACGGTGCTAGCATAGTAACACACAGAGTCAGCGTCCTTGGAAGATTTTCCATTTATTGTCATTTCCAAACGCAATGTTTTCTTGTGGTTTAGTGTTTTGCAAAATAAGACATTTCAGTACCCTATCGTTCAGTGTATGATCTTTCATAAGAGCCGCAAAACTACTTTGAACTGAAACAAACAAAAAAAGCTTTTAAAGACCTTAAGTTATAAAGCCCAACTCCAACAAAATCTAATTTAAAAAGCAACAAATATATATATATATATATATATATATATATATATAATCTGTCTTAAATCACAAAGTATAAAGCTAATTTGTCACGGTATCTAGAGCGTTCTCACAAATAGAGCACGCTGAATTTCCACCGTTTGGGCCGTCCCTGCAGCTTATTTCCCCCTGCTACAGACGCGATGACGTTTTCATGTTCACAAAGCAAAGAAATGTAACAAAGAGTCACAGGGAAGTGGACGTGAACACATCCTGCTCTGATCCGTGTAGTTCATCCATTGACAGACAGACTGTCCTTTACTTGTATCTGTGTTGTTCCGTTCTAAAAGAAAATGAATGATTTGTCAAAATGTGTGTTTTCTAATGATTTTCTGTTTTGTATTGAGTGCAATTGGACCATAAAGAGACTATGCAGGTAAATAAAATGCAAAGAGACATTTCAAATTAATTTTGGAGCAGGAAACTAATTCAAAGTATGCACAGTACCGTGCAAATTCATTTAAATCTTGCATTAAGAGTGCCAATTATTGAAATCAGGATGAATTTTAAAGTAACAATATATTAATAACAGCAGATACATAAGTTAAAATACACATAGCTCTGCCTGGTTCCATTTATTTTGAATGGATAGCGACTCTTAAATTTGTTAATATTTCTATCTATGGTGCTTGAAATGTTTATGATCTCAATGTTTGTACAAATATAAATATATGAAAGAGCCCGTTTTCCTCTTAAATACAAACGAGTACCCTTCATATGCTTCTTCTACATCATCATCATCGCTCTGTTAGCAGAACCAACTTTTCCTCCGTTTGGCTTTGCCCTGCACGCAGGAAGCACTCTGTGAGATCTTGTTGATCCGCTCTGAATTCTTGAAAAGGAACAAACTTTGACTTCAGGGTAGAAATTATACAAGAGTTGGTTTGTCTAAAGCGCTGTAAATTAGTTCTACTGGACTAATGGAAAAATAAAATGTAGAAACACAAGAAAGGAAATCATTTTATGTGCTGCAATTACGCAGAAAAAAAAGCCAATTTAAACAATATGTTTTAGAACAACTGGATCCCATAGTGTTTTTTTTTTTTTACAGCTCAGTGGCAACCAGCTCTAAACTCCACAAACTAACATGCAAATCATGAATGAAAGTTTATTTATTGCTACAATTTAAGGTTTTATTTATCTTCATCTTAAATAACTTAAAACGTTACTATGCATTTAAGAACAATAACTGTACATACTTTGCTGTACCCATGTCATATTTAAATATATAATGCCGTGCACACATTTGTGCTAATTTTTTAATTTCATATTTGTGCATTTTTTTGTTGATTTAATTTGCTCCTCTTGTTGGTTTTAGGGTCTCCTCTCACGTTCACCCTCTGGTTGGTTACAGTCAGGTCCATCTGAGTGTAAACAGCTTCTTTTTTTAATTTTTTTTAGCTCTGCTGTTGATCAAGGGACAAAAAATGAATAAAAATCTGCTTACATGGTAAACTTTCAGCTTTAACTCAGCAAATTTTAAAAAAAAAAACTCCTTTGGCATCAGTACAGTAATTATTTTTACTAGGGATGCACAATATTATCGGCATGGTATCGGACGATATTGACATTAAAGTTAAGTATCGGACATCGGCTATTCCATCAAAATAACTCAGAGATATAAAAGGTGCTGTTTTTGTATGACAACCCAGTGACAAGGATGCCTGCAGCGCCAGCCCGTGATGACGTCACGCGCACCTACCTGATCGCACAGACGAGGAAAATTCAAAATGTCGGCATGCGGAAGTTTTTTTGTCGTTGAGGATGACGGATTCCGAAGATTTTTGGATTACGTTGAGCCTCGCTACATCGTCCCCAGTCAGATACTTTTCCGACGTAACCTTACCCGAGTTACAAGCCGTCATTTCTGACGTCATTGCGAAGCTAATAGCCGATAGCACTTGGGTGAGTTTTACCACAGACATTTGGACGTCGTGTTAGCCTCGTTAGCATAATTAGTCTTACGGAACAATGGATAGACAAAAACTTTGAACTTAGGATCCCACACTGCAGCTAGGAACCTGGAACAAGCCTCCACAAGTTAGACAGCATCGCAGGTGACTAATGCTAATAAATAACAATTAACACTTTTCATTTAATATAAGTCAAAGTGATATGGCTGTTACTGGATATATGTCACCAGCTCTTACAGCTGTTACACAATTTTTGTGGCTAATAAGCCTAAATAAGAGGGCTATGTTCTGACAAAGGAAAGTATATAAAACATTGGTATCGGCCAAATAAGTTTTAACATATCGGCATATCAGATATCGGGCAAAAATCCAATATCGTGCATCCCTATTTTTTACACGTTTGCATTTTCAATGGTTAAAAAATGCCATCATTTTACTGATGAGCAAGACGTGCACCTGTTTCCCAAAGACTACAAAAATTATCAAGCACAGGTGAAGAAAATTTCCCTCACGAGCTCCAACAAAGTCAAGAAGTCACGAGTTTGTGAACGCATCGTGGTCAAAGTCTACAATCAAGAGATGTCTCCATGAATGTAAACACGGAGGCTTTATATCCAGTTGCAAACCCACAAAGCCCTCCATGCTGTGAAACAGAATGTAGCACAAAAAGATGCGTACAGTACAAGAAAATATAAAAAATAAAAGCATGTTTCTGTTGAAGCGTCGAGTTAAAGCTGGAAGTCTACTCGATGGTCCCAAAGTTTAAATACAAATAAATGAGCCTGACTGTATATGGAAAGCAGAAAAACAGGGATCAGTTGTAAGAAACAGACCAGAAACTTTTAATAAAATGTTTGTAACTGTATGAACAGCCTTGTGTAATTAGCAGGTGATGATTTGGAAACGCAGACTCCAGGATGAGCCAAAAGCCTGTACATGTTTAGTGTTAAGATGCTATGTGGGATGTTTCATCCATGATAAATCACTGCCAAATCTAACAAGGTAGCACTTTATAATTCCAGCAATAACTTAAAGCCATCCAACGGTCTGGTGTCTTTATTTAAAGCTAACATAGGAGTCCACGTGAACTAAATGGTGCGTTTTAAGCCAAATTAGTCACCAAGTTCCATCTCTAATGTCAAGTTATAGAAGAAAAAACACTTTAAAGCTTTAAAAACTAATTTATATACAGTATGTGCTGTTCCATGTGTTGGAAAAACTCAATAATTATAACGTGCTATCTAAAAATCTGACACATAGCATCTTTAAGTTTTAAGGACTGCTCAGTGCAGTCAAGATCAGACCACATTTACCCAAAACAGATGCCATAATTAATAGACGGTGTCAAATATTTGTTGTACAGCTTGTAAAAAAAAAAAAAAAATTAAACACTCTAAGTAGTTTATATTTGTTCAGAAAAAGTTATAAATTGTGACAAATACTCATAATGAACAAAACAACAATGCAGTGCAAATGAAAGAATACGCCATGCAATAATTTCAGTTGTTTTTGAGTTTTCTTCATTTGTTTTAACGTAAAGTCCTCTGCAGAGCTTCTGCTTTGTGGAATGTGGTCTGACATATTGTGTTGATGGAAAACGATGGAGGGATGTAAATAAAGGAATGTATTGAAAGAGGTTAAAATGTGATTCTTCTCCACTTTGGCAGACGTTGTTGTGTAATCTGTACCAGTTCTGATAAAATCATCACATTTAGTGCTTGGACTCAAACAGAGCAGGAATGATTTTTTAAATGATGGTTAAATGGACACAGAAAGCTCATCTGACAGCTTTGTTTATAACACAACACAGAAGGAGCAAAGACAGAATAAGAACACAAGAAATTGTGTGGAAAAAGCAAAGAAAGTGAGAAAAATATCAGCAGACGATTGGATTTGACATGAGTGGAGGAGAAAAATGGAGTTTGGAAATTTATCCTCCAAGCCGTTTTAACATGTAGTCATCCTCCATGATTCCTGTCAGCTGAATTACTAAGACCAACCCCAGGCAAGCGCTATAATCACAAAATGAAGCTTAGGCTCCTGGGAAAGTTTCACTATTATTCATTTATAAAGCACTGAATAATTAATAAGACGACAGTGCAAAGAATACTGAATAAAATAGAATAAAGTACTGTCCATTTGATAGTTGGTGTTCAACATAAACATCACCAGAATCAGACTTCATCCTCAAGAGATTTTTAAATGTTTTTATTTCTAATTTTCAGGATCTGCCCATGTTGGAGAGGTCACTGGTGTGATTTTAAAATATCTCCACTCACAAACAAGACCACATTTATTTTATTATAAAAGAACAAAAATGCTCAGTGGTGTGTAATTAATAACAAGGAAGGTGAATCGTCTTCATCTTCACCAAGTCTTCCTTAACTGGTTCAAAGAAAACCTGATAAGAGATAAAACTATGAGCATGGAGATTATTTTCATATCATCTCCACTTCACTAAAGCCTACAACACAGGAGTAAGATAGCTGGTATACAATTAGCTGCTTCGAGGGAGTAAATACATTTTCAAGTTGCAGCGCTCACAGTAAAACTTATCTATATTAAAGAACACTAATTCTTACACAGTAATAGTACACAGTGGAATGTATGAACCTAAGCAAAATGTAAACAATATAAAGTACTTGGAAGTTGTGTTAAATCTAACTTTTAGTGCACATTTTAGAAACATATCTACAGTATATCTTTTAATTTCTGATCACTGCTATAATTGAGTAACAGATTTGGTTCCAGGTGAAGGGGAGGTAGAAAAAGATGGAGGACACGATTTCTACAGGCTGATTGGTCAACTAGTGTCCCTCAGCTTTTGAAAGAAATGAGAACATTTGCAAGTAAAGCATTTCTATAACAAATATACAAAAAATAAAATTGCACATATGGAAGTCAGTGGACATTTATTTCAGAAACTGTTACAACTGAGAACAAAGTATGTCATATATATTTTTTAACATAAACTTCACAAAACAAGCAACAACTCAATGCACCATAGCTGGATTAAAACAAAAACAAACAAAAAAAATCCATAACTCGTGTGTCTCACACACATTTGGGTTTTCCCTGGACCAGAAATGTCGTCATGAGTTTGTAAAAAGCTGATTTTTAGGATTAATGTGGGAAGTGTCCATGAACGTGTGTGGGAAACTCTCCTCATCGCAGACACACTCTGGCCTCACACACCAACAGAGAAATACACAAAAAACAAGGATTAGCAGGGGAAGTGTGGGTGATGGATATACACAGGATGATGGATGTTTTGAAAACTTGGCTTTACTAAAACAGCACATACACACACAAAGCCATGAGCCTGAGATCACTCATGATGAAACCCACAGATTATTCTGGAGACAGGGGCCCACAGGGGGCCTCACTCCCTCTGGATCTCCGTCTCAGACAGAACGAGGGAATAACAGGTTACAGATCAAACCCAAACAGAAGAAATATCACAGCCCCAACGTCAGCGTGTCCAAACAAGCTGTCAGCAGTACTTACTTAGGCCTTAAAATATTGTGTATTTTTGTTTCATGTTTAAATGAAAAGCTTCGTCAGAGACATTCTCTGTGATTCTGTGCATCTAAAACTAGCCGTAGACGATTGGAGAAAATGTATGGAGTTCCTCGTTTGTGGTACTTTAGTGCATCTTCTTTTCGTTCAACTGGTCCCAGATACCTCTCAGCAGCATTTACTAATTGGACATTGTACTTTTCTTTCACTGCTGCGTTCCCTTTCCTGCAGCTGAGCAGGCAAAAATGGTTTAAATCATTTAAATCATGTTTACCATGAAGTCCAATATTACACACTGGTTCATTAGTTTCTCTGGTCTTATAGTAAAAGTTGATCAGACTTCTGTGTTCAGAATGTTTGCACCAGGCCTGTCGCGATAAACAATAAATCAATTAATCGCATGATAAATGAAAATTATCGCTCTCATGTTCATTTATCGGCTTGGTTGTCTCTCCATCTCTCTTTCTACTGAAGACACTGGATGACAAATGCTCAACTCCGGTGCTCTTCAATGACCCTTCCCTTTCTCTTTAAAATCCATTTTAACCGTCCAAAATTGTGTTTTTTTGGATTGTTAAAAGAACAGACATAAATAAAGTCTATGGTTAAAAGCAGCGAAGCTGAGAGGCTAAGCTATGAGCTAAGCTAGCAGGCCGACCTTGGGAAACAACCTCCGTCTTGTTGAAGCTCCAAAATTCACGGTTGAAACGTGCTTTCATGTAAAAAGTTGTTTTTCTCTGCAAAAAGAAGCTGAGAACTTGTTTACTGATTTTTTTATTAAAAGCTTTGCGTGGAAAAATGTTATGCCAAAGAGCTCAAACCACACCGAGCGTCTGCCATTTTGAGAACCAAAAAAAAGGAAGGAGAGACATGTAGGAGAGACAGACCAAGGTGCCTCCCTCCCATTTTTCTTAAAGAGACAAACTGCTTGCTCCCTCACTAACCATCCTTCAGTTCAAACAGTCTTATACTGCCATCATCTGGCACATACATATATGTATCCTCTTTGTTCAGGAGCTTGATGTCTTTCTTAATGTTTGCCCAACACTTGGTGATCCATCTCACAACGACACTCCTCCATCTTCATCTGCAGCTCGAGGCTCAGGGGGTGATCTTCACCGTGAGTGAGCTTCAGGATTTTAAAGGCCTGAGGAAGGAGCAGAAATCCTGTTGAGCTTTCCTTACTGGAGCAATTATATTATTGTGAATATAGAAAATAAACCATCATAAAATGCAATGAAACCACTATTTTTTTTTTACTGATGAAAATATACGCTAATAACAGATTTTAATAATGTGCAACTTTGATGGGTCAGACCTGTTTGAATGTGTCCAAAGCGTCCTCGGTGTTCTCCAGGTGATGCTGCAGCTTTCCGACTCTCATCAGCTGAACTCCATGAACAGGATGTGGATCAGGGAAGTGCAGTCTTTGGAAATAACAAAGGCAGAGAGGCGCCATGATTCATTTACTCTTTCTAAACACAAACGATCCCATTTCATCAGTTTCACTGCTTCAATTCAACTGTTTGAAAATTCACACTCTTGTATTATTTTCTTTCACAGTTTGATGACAAGAGATGTTTATGTTTTATTGTAAATGAGGCACAGCTCTGCCTCTGGATGCACAAATCCGACACCTGAATCCACAGAGTACAGACAGTTGTGGAGTTCCTTCCTCTTCTGCAGGATTTTATTCATTTACTCGGCTTTACGTCTGCTTTAAATCTTAATCCTGCCTCTATCATCAGTACAACCTTGGCTTTCCGCTTCATTAGAAATTTTAATATGCTTAAAATGTCATAGGAGAGCAGGTTTTCAATGTAATGGAAAAACAGAAAACCTCCATTTTTCCATCTCATAGTCTTTCAGTTTAGCAGTTTGCCTTGAAACATGAACACTCACGTGCACATCAATGTCAATGTTTGAACATATAAACAAATAAGGTCAATATGAATCCACCTCACCCTTTTACCCTGCTTTATTTTAACGTTCTCCAGACGTGAGTTTAATAATATTACATACACAGTTAATATTAAAACATCATTATTTATTCACTGAAAATGGAAAGTTTCTTTGAGCAAAAGTTTTTCATCATTTTTATTTAAAAGGGACGTCTGTTTTGTAAAATCATGTCAAGCTAAAGTGCATTAACTTGTAGAGGCCACACCCGGGGTCGTTAGCAGCTCCACAACTTCTCTGCTAATTCATGAACAAAATTTTCCCTCAGCTCATTTGTTCACGCCGAACGAAACCACTAACTGACAAGCTCACCAATTACAGACGTGGACCCCAGATCTGTGGTTAAAGCTGAATTATTAAAACGACAGCTCAGAGGGTAAACCAACAGAATTAGTGCTCCATGAATGACAAGACGTTGAAATACTGATTTAATTATCAAACCAGCAATTAAGGCAACCGAGGCAAAACAAACACGCACATCAAGACCACATTCCAATTACATTTTTTTTTTTTGTATGCAAAACCAAAAGGCACATAAAATTTGTTAATTAGCTTGCTTTCTCCTGATTTTTCCTTTAATTTATTATCCTGTGAGAGTAGAGTGAAGATAAATATGCTCTCGCTGCTGTCGCTCTCGGCTACGAGAGGGAAGGAGAAAATTTAAAGTTGTGGGAAAATGAAGCATTTTCAGGCAAATGCAGTGGAACTAATGAAGCACTCCACTTGAGCAGAAAAAAAAATCATACCCTTTTTCTTTTTTATGAGGCAGAAACATGGATTAGCTTATTAAGGAAATAAATTTAAAAAACAACAACAGAAAAACAGATTTAGATAAACTTTACATTTTAGTCAACATTTTTTTCCCATACTAATTCTCACAATGTTTAAATTAGGAAAATAAAATGAATTTAATTTCACAATACATGTGAGGCTATCATGTCTACAAGCTTTTAACACCTTAATAAAAGGAGAATGTCGTCCAACACTAACGACTCAGTATAAAATCAATCCACTACTTTAGATTAATTAATTACCCTATTTTCCAGCGTATAAGTCAAACCTTTTGCGTAAATTTGCAAGTCCTACTATTTAAACACCGATGTGACTAATATATATATTTTTTTCCATATTTATAATCATTTTTTGACTGACATCTGCTTTCATTTATTCTGACATGTACCAGATTAAACATTACCATTTGCAACCGCTAGAGGTGCGAAAGGGCTCTCTAGGCTTTTCACAACTACTGCTACACACTACGCTGCCTGATGCCCTCAACAAGTTCTATGCACGCTTTGAAGACGCGAACAGACCACCCAGCACCAGACTCACCTCACCATCGGATGAAGAGCATCTCAGCGTGACCTCAGCTGAAGTAAGGAGTACTTTCAGGAGGATTAATCTGCACAAGGCAACCGGCCCAGACAACATCCATGGAAAAGTGTTGAAATAATGTGCCAATCAGCTCTGCGAGGTGCTGGCAGACATCTTTAACACCTCATTTACTCTGGAGACAGTTCCCACCTGCCTGAAGACTGCCACCATTATCCCAGTCCCGAAAAGCTCTACAGTGACTGGTCTGAATGACTATCGGCCAGTGGCCCTCACCCCGATAGTCGCTAAATGCTTCGAAAAACTGGTCATGACCCACATCAAAACAACCATCAACATCAACGAGAACCCTCATCAGTATGCATACCGTGAGAACCGATCAACAGAGGATGCCATCTCCTCTGTGGTCCACACTGCGCTCAACCACCTGGAGCAGAGAAACTCTTATGTCCGTATGCTCTTTGTGGACTTCACATCTGCCTTCAACACCATGATCCCCCAAACCCTGATGGACAAACTATTCACACTGGACTAAGCCCCTCCATTTGCAACTGGGTACTAGACTTCTTAACAAACAGACCACAGTTAGTGAGGATCCACAACTTCTCCTCCTCCACCATAACCCTCAGCACTGGCTCTCCTCAGGGATGTGTGTTGAGCCCCCTCCTGTTTACTCTGCTCACATATGATTGTGCAGCTACCCATCCAGGCTGTCACATTGTAAAGTTTGCAGATGGTGGTGGGATGCATCACAAACAATGATGAGTCAAGCTACAGGCAAGAGGTGGAACACCTGGAGAGCTGGTGCAAAGAGAATAACCTTCACATCAATGTGAAGAAGACAAAGGAAATGATTGTGGACTTCAGAAAGAACAAAAACACCTACACCACCCTGAACATAAGAGGATCTGTGGTGGAAGTGGTCTCCAGCTACAAGTACTTGGGTGTACACATGAATGACAACCTCAGCTGGAGCAACAACACCACCAGCCTGATTAAGAAAGCTCATCAGACACTCTACTTCGTCAGACGGCTGAGACGAGCTGGACTAGGAAGCTCAGTCCTCACCTCCACAGGTGTGCAGTGGAGAGCATCCTGTGCTCCAGCATCAACGTGTGGCATGGAGGCTGCACAGCTGCAGAAAGAAAAGCTTTCCAGAGAGTGGTAAAGGCTACACAGAAGATGTTGGAGTCAGTCTCCCCACCATCACAAACATCTACACCTCTAGATGCAGGAAGAGAGCCACCTGCATCATGAAGGACCCCACTCACCCAGCACACACACTTTTTACCCCACTCCCCTCAGGAAGGAGGTTGAGGAGCATTAAGTGTAGAACCACTAGACTGAGGAACAGCTTCTATTCTGAGGCTGTTAAGACTCATGAATCTCTAACCAGAATAATCACTGTGAAAAAATCACATCATGTTGCTGCTGATCTGTTTCAATGTTGATGTGTTCATGAGTGCTCATCTGCTTACACAGACTCATGTTCATGTTTGTGCTGATATGCTGGTGAAGATTCTCAGTCATCCAGGACATGATGAATTCAAAAAGCGTTCAATACAAAAACAACTGGACTTTATTTGTAACAGAAGACGTTTCGCTCCTCATCCGAGGAACTTTCTCAATTCAATGAGCAGTGAGTGAGAGATTCAGGATTTTCAACAAACACAACATCCCAGTACATTTCAAACCCAGCAGGACTCTCAGACAGAGGCTAGTCCACCCTAAGGACAAAACACCCATACACAAACAGAGTGGTGTAGTGTATGCGGTCCAATGCAGCGAGGACTGTCCAGATCTCTACATTGGAGAAACTAAACAGCCTCTTCACAGACACATGGCTTAACACAGGAGAGCCATCTCCTCTGGACAAGATTCAGCTGTTCACCTCCACCTCACAGAGAAGGGACAGACACTCTTTTGAGGACCAAAATGTGCACATTTTGGACCGAGAACACTGATGGTTTGAGAGGGGGGTGAAGGAAGCAATTGACGTAAAAAGAGAAAAGCCGTCTCTTAACAGAGGAGGAGGCCTCAGATTTCCACTTTCAAAAACCTATAATGCAACTTTAAGTCTGATTCCCAGCCGGTTTTCACACCTGATGGGAACAGAGGGGTCTCATCTGTGAATTAGAGTAACAAAGACTTAAGAAGCCCCTACTGTTAAGGTGTGGAGGTGTGACTTATCAAATCTACATATGTGTGTGTGTCTTATCTCACTCAGCCTTATAACCTGAATCTCTCACTCACTGCTCATTGAATTAAGAAAGCTCCTCGGATGAGGAGCGAAACGTCTTCTGTTACAAATAAAGTCCAGTTGTTTTTGTATTGAACGCTTTTTGAATGTTTGTGCTGATGTTCAACATAATGTTTTTATGTTATAAGTGCTTAGTGTATATTTAGTTGATGTTTTTCTTAGTTCATATCTTAGATGTTATTACTGTTTTTCTTTTACATTTTATTGTTGGATGTAACTGGGACCCTGTGTACATAATTTCGCTCCACCACATGTACCACATGAGGTGCGAATGACAATAAAGTATCTCTGACTCTGATTATCTTCTGCTATTCGTATCTATATTTTTATTTTACTTTATTTTATGTTTTGCTGTGTCCTTTGCTTGTTTGTTTCTGTTGTACAGCACTTTGGTTGGCCTTGTTGCTGTTTTAAGAGCTTAATAAATAAAGTGGTATGGTATGTCGAGCAAACAAGTAATTGTTTTTAGGTGTTAATTGTGTTAAATTTCTAAGAAATGCAACCGCGAGTTTTCCCGTGCACGCTCCTGTAGCCGCCAATCAATTTTTGAAATGCAGCTGATTTGACCATCAAAGTGCATTTATTAAGGAAAAGTTAAACTGAGACACACCTTTCCTATAATTTCGAGCAAACAAATAATTGTTTTAAAGTGTTAATCTTGTTAAATTATTGTTAAAGTCCTCTTGTGCACGGTCCCGCGGCCACCATTTGGCAGCCAATCAATTTTTGGCATGACAACAGCCCACGTTTCCTGGGGGGGTCAGCCGTGACACATAATAAATGCGACTTATACGGCGAAGCAACTTATTTATGTTTTTTTTCCACTTTAAGAGACATTTTTGGACTGATGCAACTTATACACCGGAGTGATGTATACAGCGAAAAATACGGTAAGTTGATTTTCCCCTGAAGATTTCCCATCATTCCTCTGCCAAAATATTTTTGTCCTCAGCAAATAATGGAGGAAGTGTGCTGTAATGCTGCAGGCATAAAAAAAAAAAAAACTTTCTATTTGATAAGTCCACCAACAAATTCTCAGAAACTGACATTGAGAGTGCACTTGGCTGGGCTACTGAGAGTTTAGTTGATGCAGAAAATTAATTTCCATAATTCTGCTGAATGTTAATGCTCATTTAATCTGGACAAACTCAACAAAATAAGAAAATGTGTAAGTAAGTTTTAGGAAATTCTAACTTTTAGTATTGTCTAAAAAAATTGTACAGGATGTTGAAATGTCTGTATGTTGGGGTGGGGTCCACGGAGGTTTAACTGAACCCGATGTGTGTGAACCATACTCGTACATCAGCTCTTGCTCACAAATAGGTGCACATGGCTTCACATATTCATGAATGTGTGTAGGAACATATCTCTAACAGTAAAATATGTGCAGCGTGGAGGCGTTCAATAAGCCTGTCTCGCAGCGCCTGCAGCAGGTGTGTAATATTTGCAAGGAATAACCTCTCTGTGCGTGACAAACTGGGGAAACCGAGGAAGGACCTGCAGAAAGAGAGAAAGAAGAAAGGAATAGTGAATAAGAAGAAGGAGAGGAGAAAGAGAAACACGGAGAACTCCTGCAGCTATCTTTCTTTATGCCATCAGGAGCCCAGAGGAAAACAGGAGATGAATATGTAGGATCCTCCTCCCACTCCTACGTTTTCCTCCTCAATCTCGTCTCTCCGTCTACTTAATTACTTTTCTTACATCGTTGTCTCCTATTGTTTATTTGCCATTTGTCTGAAATGATTTTCCTCTTTTGTTGCAAGTTTGTAACCTTACTTATTTTCTTCATTTTCCCCGTATCTAAATTTAATCAAGCCTTTTCTGTGACACAGGTTTCTCATTCCAAACCTCCTCCTCTAACCCTCTCCAACTCACGCTGCTGACATTAAAAAATTCACGTGAAAACTTTTAATAAATTCACAAGACCTCGAAAAAGAAAGTTAAAGTTTGTAGAACTTTTAGTTGTAAATCTACATCCAAAAGCCAAACTTCAGACACATCCCTCCCACACCCCTCAGCTTCTTTTAGTCTGGACAATATTTTCCACCTGACTCCAATCACTCCATCCTTCTCTTCATTTCACCATCTTTCATTCGGAGTTAGTTTTTTTACTTTATGAGCTGTTGTTGTTTCTCTCCTGTGGCTCTGTTGTTGCTGGTGTGTGTGAGAGCATGACTGTGACACTGAGCTCTGCCCTTCACACAAAATCAGTCTTTCTTCTTCCTACTCAATCTGAGCCGTCACTTTAAACCAGTGTCATGTCTTATGAAATGTGTGCAGCTGCATCGCCCCGTCTGTACTGCTTCTGGCAGATGAACATAATGTTTGTGAACATGTATTTACCTGAAGTTCAATTTGCAGTGTAAGCCCATGTGTCATGTTGTTTTTATATGTTTTATTTTTAGTTACACCAAACGTCACACTGGATCCCAAGGTTTACAGACACCTAGTTTTGGTGACAGGTTCAAGAATATCAAGCAAAATGTTTATGTTCTATTTTTTCATCATGAAGGAAATTTTCTTTTAATGTATAGTGTAACTTGACTCTTTCTGCCGTGAGCTGATCGTCTGCATTGGGCCTAGTGCAATCAATCACATGTGCATGTAGCCTTAAGCTATTACAGTCGTTTGCAGGGTAGAATATGTAATCTACTGCACTTATGAATAAAAACATATTGTGACATTATATGACAACTTTAAAGAGATTGTGCTTCTTTTATGGAAACCTTTGTGATATTCATCATTCATTACCTGTATAAATTAATTACCTGTATAAATAAAGGTTGAATGAAAAAAAATTGACATTGTGCAATTGTGGTCCATCTGCTATTTGCTGATGATGTGGTCCTATTGGCGTCATTGTGCCGTGATCTCCAGTTCTCACTGGAGCAGTTTGCAGTCGAGTGTGAAGCGGCTGGGATGAGAATCAGCACCTACAAATCTGAGGCCATGTTCCTCAACTGGAAAAGCGTGGATTTCTCTCTTCAGGTCGAGGGTGAGGTTTTGTCTCAAGTGGAGGAGTTCAAGTATCTCGGGGTTTTGTTCATGAATGAGGGAAGAATGGAGCGTGAGATTGGCAGACGGATTGGTCTGCAGTATTGCGGACTCTGTACTGGTCTATTGTGGTGAAGAGGGAGCTGAGCTGTAAGGCAAAGCTCTCCGTTTACCGGTCAGTCTATGTTCCTACACTCAGTTATGGACACGAGCTCTGGGTAGTGACTGAAAGAATAAGATCGCGGATACAGGCGGTTGAAATGAGTTTCCTACACAGGGTAGCTGGACTCTCCCTTAGAGATAGGATGAGAAGTTCGGTAATCCAGGAGAGACTCGGAGTAGAACTGCTCCACGTCAAGAGGAGCCAGTTGAGGTGGTTCGGGCATCTGGTAAGGATGCTCCCTGGACGCCTCCCTAGGGAGGTGCTTCGGGCATGTCCAACTGGGAGGAGACCCCGGGGAAGACCCAGGACATGCTGGAGAGACTATGTCTCTCAGTTTCTCTGGGAACGCCTTGGGGTCCCCCCAGAAGAGCTGGAAGAGGTGGCTGTGGGAAGAGATGTCTGGTCCTCCCTGCTCAAGCTGCTGCCCCCACGACCCAACTTCAGAACAAGTGGAAGATAATGGATGGATGAATGGATGGATTGGATGGTCCATCTTTTAAATCTCCATCTTATTGGTAAAAAAATCTTCCTTCTATTTCAGAGTTTGGCTGATTTCAAGTAACTAAATCTAAAATTCTAATCTAGTAAAATTTGTGATGGCTTTGAAGGCACTGAAATTTAAGAAAATTTTCTAAATCAAAATACTGTAATTTCTGGACTGAATATAAGCCACGCCCGCTAAGTTTAAAAAGAAAATTTACATAAATAGGCTGCAACTGTCTATAAGCCTTGGGTGTTCATGTTGTAACATGAGATATTTACACAGAAATATATATTTTTTACTTTTAATTAAATGCATACCGATAACACACAAATATAGTAAATGTTGGTTTTTTTTCTGCACAGTGCCTATAGCACGACTGATAATAAATAAATACAGTAGTCTACCAGGAAGTCATTGATCGCTACGCTCCCCACCCAAAAGAGATGTGTATTGGGCAGCTATGTGAGCGCCTGGGTGTGACAAAGCTAAATGTTTTGGTGGCATGAAGTTCGTTAGCTCATCAAAAAAAAAATCCATAAATTATCTGCAGCATAGTATAAGCCGCGATGTTCAAAGCATGTGAAAAAAGTAGCGGCTTATAGTCCGGAAATTACGGTAGTTATAATCTGTCATCCTTCAGAGAGTAACAATTTATTTGCATGCTGGATGAACTGCTGTCTTTATTTTCCTTTATAATGCTGTTTGTATTTAATTCATGCAGATATCAAGGCATTATATCCCAACCCTTAAAATCTGTAAATAAATAAACAAATATGTGGGTTTTAGTTTTTTATGTAAAGGACGGCCGTAATCTATAAGAGCCGCACACAGAATAAGAGGCTGACACCGACTTACCTGTAAGCTGGAAGTGTCTTCATGCCGTATCTCAGAGCCTCCTCCCAGAGCCCCAGGTGAACGGAGGCATCTAAAGCCATGTCTGTAATCCTGAGCTTGTACAGATTCTCATCAGGAAGTTCACCAACAGCTGACAACAGATGGCTGCAGCTCTCTAACAGCGCTTGCCAATCTAGATAAGGAATTAAGGACAAGTAACGCCTAAAAACAGGGGTAAACCTGGAGACTACCGAGGACAAGGTAAAGTATTTATGAGAACCACTTTGCATGAATTTATTATTATAATTTTATGTAAAGACACAATTAACTCATGTCTGTCTTTACTTATCTTTTCTGTTCTTTCATGATAAAAACGGCTTAAGGGCCAGATTTATGAACATGAAAGCACAGCACCACATTTAATTAGAGTCTTAATTGCTTAGTAAATCATGTCTTGAGTCTCCACTGCCAGCCAGTGCCTAAACCTATCTGTGAATAGAAAAATTAATACAGCTAGTATCTCATTTGCACGTTAAATTGTGACCTAAGATTGTTGCAAGTCAGCAAATTTGTCTTTGGGCACCCTAATTAATTTACTGCTGTAATGTTGACTCATGCATGTACACCACATGTAATAACAACACACCATATGCCAATCTAAAATACTGTCTGAAAGCGGGATTTGAAAGTCCTGAAAAATATGGATATGAACCATTATCCTACAACAGATGAGAATCCACTGGCCCTATAAAGATAAAGGATTCTGGACTCTGTTTTCAGTCCTTCCAGTCTCGACAGAGCCTCCTTCAGTGGGATCCATTTAGTTTTTTCTCCTGACAGCATGAGTCCATCCTGAACAAGCAAAAAAAGAAGGACAACCTGAGCATCCCACTGAGAAAGAACACAGCATCTACAACAAAAACGTGATACTGGTACGAGGCTCAGGAGCATGAATGAAATAAATGGATGAAAACAGCGAGTTAAATAACTTTCATTTAATGACACTGAGAATACTAAAAACGACAAAAATATTGCTTGAAAAAGGACAAAAAGATGTTACAGAGTTCAGACTGAAACAGTTTAAACCTAATATGAAGACATTACTCAGCCGTACTTGCTCGTGTAAGATTTTGTAGAGCCCAATTATGTGTTTATCAACTGTAATGATTATTCCATGTGCATCTTAGCACAAGCGAAGAGCAAACAACACAAAAAGACAACAGTCATCTGTTGCCTTGACAACTTGGGGTCACCACTGCAGCCTGCCGTCATCAGCAAAAGATTAACTCAAAGTGTGTGTTGCATGAAAAACAGAGGTTGGTTTAATAAAATGAGTGCTGTTGTCCCAGAAACAACTAAGTTGTGGCTCTTCGCTTATATCAAGCACACACACACACACACACACACACACACACACACAAAGGCTTAAATAAATACATTATTGTTGGTAGTTTCTGTGTTGTGGAAGTATCACACACACTGCAGCATGAAGAGATCAAAGCTCGAGGCAAAGGGTGAACACAGAAACAAAAAGCTGAGGAGCGTTTAAGAACAGAGGGCTGGAAACAGACAGCGTGATGCTGGAGCAGGAAGATGGGGCACGTTAGGATGGATGGAAAAGAAAAGTGCAGCTGAAGGATGAGATAATTTTTCCCATTTTTCAGTGGGTGGCCAGACAGACAGAGGGAGGGAGTGAGGAGGTGGAGCGTGACAGAGTGACACAGAGGAAGAGGAGGACAGCAGGAGATAAGAAAAAGTGTCAGAGTGAAGGAGGAGAAAAGAGAAGAGGACAGGAGAGGGTACACTGAGACACGCTACGCACTGATAACACTGTCTGAGCAACAAAACACAAAATGTGTGTGTTTGCGCGTGTAAGTGTGTGAAAGAAACAGAACGAGGAAGATACATATATGTTCAAACTTTCAAAACATTTCTGCAAATCTAGGCAACAAATGTGAGTTCTTGTCTGAGTTCATAAGTTTTAGCGGTACCCATCTTTATATTTAGGAATACAGCGGTCCCTCTTGTATCACGGGGATCTGCATCCTGAAGACCCACGATAAGTGAAAAACCACAAAGTACGAATAGTAGGACAAGTAATAAGTAGTAGTTTATTTTATTATTTATACAGTGT